TAATGATCAGATGGATGCGCTTCTTTCTGAAGATTTTTGGTCCGGTATCTATAGGAATGAATGTTTGTTTGATTGTATGTTTTCAATCTACTTGCGTTCATCAGCCGAAAGCTATAAAAGTGATAATTGCGTGAAAGATACTACGAACAATGTAAAATCCAAGTAAGCGGTTAATGCCAACCGAAAACCATAAAAATCCAACAAATTAATTTATTGAGTGCATCGATGTTAAATGTTAATGAAAAATAAGGATCATAATGAAGACTAGAACAAAAATAGATTCGCATTTATAGCTGCTTAGAACAAAAACGATAGTTAAATCCGGCACAAGAAGAAAATGGATTTTATTTTTTATTTTTCCTTTCATTTGAATGTTTCAACAAAATTTCTCTAACAAGGCTCCCTTTATATTCATTTGATCAGCCCACGGCATATTTTATCGCACATGATGATCGATGATGCGATTGGCTCAGAGAATTCTATACGTCTCATTCTTTTTGTAATCCATTCGTGGATGACACTTTCATTCTTTTTCATTGTATACATTTGATCGCATTCTCTCACACAGATATTCAGCGCTTCATTGTAATTTTCATTTAGGCACATGTTTGGATAAGTGCGATTGTGTCTGAGTATTTCTTCACCCTTCACTATATACACATTATCATACAAATATGGGCGTGAGCTGGCTAGACATTTTCTTAACGCCGTTTTCCACACAATCCAAATACAACGTTGTATGGCATCGGTCTGTCAAATTTCATCGATTTGTTAGTTAATTGTTATATACTATACATCGCTACTGCTGTTAGATGGCTCTTGTGTCTGAGTGAGCAAAAAGTCAGTTATTTACTTCGGCACTTAATTATAATAAATGTACAGTTTACTATTCGCTTACTGGAGAATTTGTGTACTTTTTCTTTCGGACATTAGAGGCAAATGATTTTGGGGAAAAAAATTGACGAAACTTCAAGGAGGTATATTTTTTTCTTGTTCATTTGTTTATTCGATATCAGATAATATAAAATATTCTATCTTCTTCAACTTCTTTTTGTTCAATAACGGAAATGAAATCAAAATTAATATTTGGTAAGGGGGTCATTGGCCTTTGAATGCAATTCATTGAATTCAAATAGCCACCCTGTTTATAAGCATAGTTATATCATATGTAAAGATTGGAAAATTAAATTGATTCATTAAAAAGAGAAGAATGAATATATTTATAAAACAAAGAATTCTTCTCTTTTTAATGTTAGTATGGACTGATGACGCAATGCAATGTTCCGAATGTACAAATATATATTAAGTTTTTATTCAAAGTACACAGAAAAATTACGGCTCGACTCATTGAGCAAAAACTTGGATAAAATATATTTTTTACCATACTGGATCAGCTTTTACTTATTTTTTATTCACACATCCGTTTTGAGAGCAGTTCAAGAAAATTGTAAATTGATTGAACGGAAATTGTGAATATGACAATGAAACATTCTGAATTTGATTAAAAGGTGGTTGAAATATCTGCGTCCGGCCGGTTTTGACGAAACTTGATGGTGTAATATAAAAAGAGATGGTGTCTATCAATTCAACTCAGCTCAAAAGACAAAAATATATATTCCTTCCATCACTCATACATTGAGACATCATGTCTGCTTAAATCTTTCTTATTCTTTGCCTATTAAGACTCATAAACTTTGTGCGGCTGAACAATGTATGAATGTGTCTTGCATGCGTGAATGTGTGTGAATATTGTATTTTTCACAATTTCCTTGCACACCGAAAAAAATATTGTGCTATCGGTGTATTTAAATAAATGTTGTATGTGTGTGACTATCGTAATGGAATATGCGTTCTTTTGCTGTGATCCCCATCGTGTGTGTATATAATATATATAGGGTGCCCACAATTCCGTACAAATCTCTCTACCACAGATTTCTCAACTCATGAGGACTAAAAGAATATATGGGCACTTTCCCCGAACCGGCTAAAGGTTTACAACACAGGGTCAAAATGTTCTATGTCTGATTGATTTCCAAAAGTGTTTTTCAAAAGCATTTTTTATTATTGTCTTATTGGAAACACATCTCAGTTCTCTAGAGAATACTACGAAAAAAATTCGAAAAAGGTTTCGGCAAAGCATGGCAGTAGTGACAGTTGGGCAACGCAGCATTGAATAATGGCACAAATTTGTACCAGCAACTAATAGGGTTGCTATAGCTCATCTGGCAACCGATGCGAGCGCTTCAGTCGTTTCTTGTCACTGCCGTGCTTTGGGTTTCGGTGGTCACATGTTCTTCTTTTTCCATCAAATATACCAGTGGCGCCACCAATTTTACATATAAACGCATACAAAATTTTCAATATGGCTGCGCCCATAAGAGAGAAAATTTTGTCTCATTCATTTCCGCCTCATGGGTGACGTTCAAAGTCATATGACCAAAAGTCATATATAAAATCGAAAAAAATCGTAATTTATCCTTAAAAAACGCTTGATATCATTTTCATCGATAGAGCATTTAATTTTGAACCAAATTTTTGTGAGTGGGTGAACATTGCAAACAGTCTGAAATGGAGCGGTCGATTTTTTTTAAATATTTTATTGCATCGACTTTACTGGGTAATATTCAAACGCTGTTTGTTTGGTTTTACAACTGATCTTAAATAATTCGGACCCGAGGAATTAAATGGTGCCAACTATTTTGTCCGATCGATTCGAAGTTCTGAGATAACCGGCTTTGATCCTACTCCGGGTAGGAATATCAAAAGCAAGCACTCAAAAAAACTTACTCCTAGCGCCACCAACCTATAAGTTATGTATTGTGAGAGCCAACTTCAGACAGATTGTATATATGTGACAACTATTTTTTTGAAATTTGTAAAACCGGCAATTAGGTGTTTGTGTTTCAACTATAAACATTAAACATGCGAAAAGTAATTTTGCTTTTTTTTATTAATCATCATTTTACTGTGACTTTTTTTCTTAATTTTTACATTTTTATTTTTTTGAATCATTATTGGTTGTTTTTTGTGCTTTACTTTCATTTTTTCCCTGAAATTTAGAAGTGTGGAATGTGCGAAAAATCGTTCATTCGTTTACAAACTTTGCGGGAACACGTCGAAAATGTTCACCAGCCAATGAAGAAAAAATTCAAATGCCCGAATTGCGACATATTTTGCTCGCACATAATCAGAAGTTGCCGAATCAGCTTTTGCCGAATCAGCTGTTGCTGAATCAGCTGTTGCCGAACCATGATCTATTATCTGTGAACGTGTGAATAGATCAATCAACAATTTTTTCAAAATACTTACATTTGAAGAAAATGTGCCTTTAAATTGTGCGGTCTCGAGAAGAATTTGTCGCAATTCGGGCATTTGAATTTTTTCTTCATTGGCTGGTGAACATTTTCGACGTGTTCCCGCAAAGTTTGTAAACGAATGAACGATTTTTCGCACATTCCACACTTCTAAATTTCAGGGAAAAAATGAAAGTAAAGCACAAAGAACAACCAATAATGAATCAAAAATATAAAAATGTAAAAATTAAGAAAAAAGTCACAGTAAAATGATGATTAATAAAAAAAAGCAAAATTACTTTTCGCATGTTTAATGTTCATAGTTGAAACACAAACACCCAATTGCCGGTTTTACAAATGTCAAAAAATAGTTGTCACATATATACAATCTGTCTGAAGTTGGCTCTCACAATACACAACTTTATTGAGTGAATGCTTTTGATATTTCGACTTGTTAAAACGATGCATTCACGTTTTTTATTGCCGATTAATATTTTTTTATGAATAAAACATTTTTTTAAAAGATTGGCAATCATAATATTCATTAAATTAACCACTAGAAACATATTTGTGGATTCATTTCGTTTTGATATTAGAATAGTAATCGATACGAAAGTAGATGGCGGTAGGATGTAAAAATCTTTTTGCAAAAGTGACATTTCAGTACAAAATACGTTTTGATATTCCTACCCGCCTACTCCTAGGAGTGACATTTTGGACAATATTTTTTTTCGATCGTTATGAAATTTTGGGACACCCCGTATAATATTTTGTAATGTAGATATCAACGTTTTATCGTCTATAAAAGCAGAGCACATTTGTAGAAAACCCAAAAACAATGTTTTAGTTGAATATGCATTCTCATACAAATGTTTCAATAGTCGAAAGGAACCTTGACATTAAATGAGACTCTGAGATTTGCCGCCGATATGAAACAGAAAATTTGGATAAAATGTGCCGTGGTCTACAATTGCCGAATGTAAAATCTCAGCATAATATTGTTAGATGTATGAATGCGTATTTATACGATGTGAATGTGTGTATCGGTAGCGATGTATGGATGGCTTTATGGTGTACTTATTTGGTTATATAGGTATCGGTTGCAAAGCACGACTATATGTACTTTCCAAGCGGGAAAATGCTTACCGAGAAAAAGTGCGAAAGAGAAAACGAAAGAAAATAAAGAAATGACCATATACGTTCATTATTATGTACTTCTGTTGTTGTTGATGACAGTGATGATGGTGGTGGTTTTTCGATAATTTTTGTTTCGCTTTCGGCTTAATCGAAGCATTTCGTAACAACGCTTATAATATTCGGAGACATGAAAACTGCGGTGTAAAAAAAATAAACAAAGAAAAATGGGTGAAAAAGCTCGTATTTTATTTATTAATAAATCGTCATTAATTAAAATATTTGAGCTCGGTGAAAATTTTGATTTGTATTCTCGCAAAGTGTTGGAATATATAGAAACACATACATCTCTGTAAACTGAACACACAGTTTATGTTTATGTGTTACATTTTTATTTATTTTTTCAATGGTACGCTTCGGCTTTTTGTCATAGTAGTGTCGTTGTGTTTGTCATAGTAGTGTCGTTGTGTCGTTTACCGAAAAACAAATGGTTGTTGCTTTTTTCCCTTTATCCAACTGGAGGAGACAAGTTTATACTGTTTGTGCTGTGATAGCACACGCAACATACCATTTGTTTGCCGTGTTTCTAACTGTATGTGTCATCTTTTGTTCTATAATCCTACATACAAAAATATCGTTCGAATTTTCTTTCGCAGCGAAAACGGTGTTAGTCATAGCGAGTTGTATTTTTTTTGTTCGTTCGGTTTCTCTTTTTCTGCTGGTATGGTTCGTATATTTTTAATCGTATTGCGGTGTTCATAGCTGAATAGCAATAGTATAGGCAACATCAACAGCAGCCAATTCGGATGTTTGTGAATAAAATAGGGAAAAAGGTGAACTTTGCATCCGCTCTTTGTTGTTTTCATTGTTGTTTTCAGGTAGTATTTTTTCGTCTTTCTATATTGTGTGTGCGCTTTTATGCATTGTGTAATGTATAATTTTTTATATTTATCTTCTGTCATGATGTTTTTTTCGCGTGTGTTGATTTTATTGCCGAAAAAATTGTGAATCGACTAATAGTGGAGCATTGGAAATGCAAAGATCATAATAAACAGTAAGTGAACTTTACATGTATTGTGTTCATGTTTTTCAATGCAGGAGGTTTTTGTATTGTTGTCAAAGATTGAGTCCCTGATAGACAGTGCATATTAGAAAAAAATTTGGAATATTCAAGGAAAAAAATTTGTTTTTTGAATTAATTATAGATATAAATGTCCTGCATCGACCAATGAGTAAATTAACACAATAATATATCCAGATTTCTGACGTGACGTTTGTCAATTTTTCATTCAAAATTCACAAAATATGTGTGTGTATGCAACATGTTTTAGGGCATCATATCATATTTGAATGTTCTTTTTCATGTACATAAAAACAAATGTGTTGGAAAACCTTACATACTGGAAAAATGTAACTTCATATTATATTTTCTTAACAACACATTCATAGCATTCCATTTGAACTGTTAATTCAACTGTTAGTTTGTTCCTTTAGTTCCCCGAACGTTCGTCGTTGGCTTTGAAAAGTCACTGCGTGATTTCTATGATCTTGAAAATCCACACAGAAAATCGATGTTTGAATTTCATCTAAGCCCGCTATTTACACGGTTTTTATTGGAATTATTCTCACATGAGAATCTCAATTATAATATCCAATGTGAGAAGAAAAAGTTATACCAGAAAGAAATTCTTATAAAACTTACTAACATAGTTTTCAAGATATTTTTCTATTAAGCTTCCTGGAATTTGTTTTTGAATTTCAAATAACTATTTCTTATGGCTTTGTAAATTCAATATAAATTTGCCACGCTTGAATCCATAAATAAAAGCCGGTCTTAGTAATTTAGTCAGCAAAAAATGAATAGAGAAAAAATCGATTTAAAGTGACTATCACAGCATACATGAATCATGTGTTGAGGGAAATATCCATACGCATACGAGCATTAACATAAAGTCGGAAAACGGATACCGAACCAATTTTCACCATTTGTCTATTCCGTATAAATTGAACTTAAAGATAATGAATAAAAAAAGCTACACGAAGAAAACACGCGAGACGCTATATTTGAATGGAAAACACCGAATCATTTTTCATGAACGGGTATAGTAATTTTTGTAGTATCTTAGGTTCTGGTAATGCGGATGAAGCGAAACAAATACAGTCGCATCATGTCTTTTAAATATTATACTGCGTTTGCGCTCTTAATAAATCAAATATGTTAACTGGAGTATAAATCATTGATTTTAAACTGGTTTCTCTTTTATTTCAGATAATGAATCTTAAAACAGAATTCAACTAAATAAGCGTTCTTAAATAATGGAAACTTTCCCATAGCAGGCACATTCAACATTTCAGATTACTTTATTCATTGACAATAAACACTTTCGTTGCCGTTTCCGGAAATAAAGAGATATATATATATTGACTCATCAGCTGACTATGCTGCATATTTGTCGACAATAAAATAATGTGGCAGAACTATCGAAACAATTTCGAAATTGTTGAGCATCAATTTAAAATGTGATAAAAGTCAAAATTTCATTTGATTTTATATTGGATTATTGGATTATTGGATTAAACGGGGAGTTATTCACTCGATGCTCAAGTTTCGTAACTTATTGCATGACGACCCGTCTTGTGCTGTCACTCGATTACTTGGAGAATGCTTCCCACGGTATGGCCCACTTTATAGCAGCCATGTAACTAGCCTCCGTACAGGGCCAGTGACCAGGGCTTTCTTCTCAAGTCAATTGTCATGACAGTCACAAGAATTCCATTCATTCCCAGATGGCGTTGGGCTCTTCTTATTTCAATGGAGGAATGCACACATCGCTGGTTTACCGGTATATTCACCAGAGATGGCGCACTACCTTTTTACGGTTGTTGTATTTGCAATCTCTCACATATTCAATACAACAACCTGACGTGAAGGCACTCCATTTTACGTGTGTCTATGCTGAGCCCATATCTTCGTTATGCACACACACGGGACCGACGGCTTTAAGTGCCCTTCCGAAGCACTCCACTAGCCCGAAACCCGGCCAAATCTATTCCGCATTAAACCACTGACGATTCCTGAGCGAATCACGGTGGAAAAATACCGGACCAAATTTGACCGAGAATCGAACTCGTGTCCTCACGCTCACAAACCTGGCCACCTTTTATATTAATAATACTAAATCAAAATGAGTGACAGTCTATTCGGATTTCTCCGACCTCTGGTGAAACCAAAATTACTATATATTTATATCAAGAACTAAATTCAAAAGCACTGTTTCATTTTCCGCTCTATATTTCGAGTTTCGACATTTTCATTAAACATTGACATCATCCATAAGAAAATATACTTTCATTCAAATGAAAAGTAGTAGCGGATTGGTATGTGTGTGACGGAATATCAATTGGGCCGTTGGTTTCAGTTCTAGGCATTTCTACATATTCCCAAAGATACAAATCGGAATATTCTTCTTGGCAACACCAAAAATCAATTTTTATGGTGTGATTCACATGAAAGAGGTTGCTGTGGTTTTTTTTGTATACTACCAGCGTTATTAACCAATTCTAATCTGCTCCGTTTTTTTCTCATATCAATCTTCCTTTCGATATAGACAAATGAGTCTTGTCAACTTTCATGTTTATTCTATTTTAGACCTGCAACAATCAATAATTATGGCACATTTTGGCTTTTTTCTGCCCTCAATGGTAATAGCGCATTTTTCGGTCGTCATTTTTAGCAAAACTTTGAATAGTATCTCATTACTTCCTGTCAAAAATGTCATCATATAATTATTTCAAATAACATCCCCATATAGAGTGGTTCGGTTTTGACCAACCGGCTAAGCCTATGAAGAGACAAAATGCGAATTCCCCTCATCTGTGCCATCTTGTATTCCATAGTTGAACTCAATTTAGTTACAATGAATTGAATCGAAAAAGAGAAAAAAAAAACAACAACAGTAACATGGCTACATAGATCTGTTGACCAGTGAGATACGTATAACAATGGAATGAAAGAATGAAGAAAGCGTATATGTGTATGTATGCATCAGCACGCATAGATGTACAGCTCTGTGTGGCCGTGCTATTGTTGTTGTTTTTTCTCTTTTTCATTTCAATGCTACAGAATTAAATTCAGTTTTTCGATCTAATTCGAACTAATGTGAGGTGGCGCTGATCAGCTGCGTTCGCATAAAAAAGTTCCCAATCTCATATACGCCAACCCCGCTTGGTTTTGACACTTTACGAGAACACTCGCATACCTATAACCTCTGTAGTCATAGACACATGACTATGATAACAATTTCAAAATTTCAATCGGAGTAGAATTTTGAATTTTTTTGTTTGGGAGGGTCGATGTAGTACACCCCACATTGATGGTTTGTGGAAGGCGAGAGAGGGAGTCGTTTTTCCCCAAAAATGAGTATTTCTCCAAATCGATCAAAATAAAATCAAAAATGAGTTCTAATATTTATCCTTTTATGGATGCAATGTGTTCTGGGGGACTCTCTCTACAAGAGTAAGTTTAGAGATGAACTTTAATCTTTTTCTTCTTCATTTTTTCCACCTCACCAAAGGTGTCTTTCGATCTCTTTTTCGATTTTCAAAGCAAAAATTCGAGCACAAACCAATTCGGCCTCTCGGACGTTGGCTTTAACCAATGAAAAAATATTCTATCTTGTAGAGAATAATGCGTAGAACACAAAAAAGCGAGTAAAATTGGTTTCATCGGAAAGCAACCCTGTATATGTATATATAAAGAATATTCGTTTCTCCATTTCCAAATACACTTTCCAAATTTATATTGTATATTCACGTGGGTCTTCTCACTGGTGTTGAAATATAAATGTTCTGTAATTTTTTCTGATCTAATCATTGCTCAAACTTAATTGAATATTGACCAAATGTCTCTTTGATGAACACTATGAAAATATACATTAAGAGAAGTAAACGAAATAGATCGGCTGTTGACATTGGAGAACAGGAATTTGGAACAAAAGAAAATTTAATTTCAAAGAATCACCCGAAATATTTGTGCCGCTTAACATTGTCAAGAACTAAAGACACGCATACACAATTACACATATGTGTACATACATGTATCTATACATATGTATATATAGACATAGCAACGGGCCGTTGTCAACGACGTCTGTACTTTTTAGACTCTTATAACTTTTTCTTGTTGATATAAATTCGAAATTTTGAAATTGCGAAATATATTTGTTGTTGCATACGGGCATTGAAAGTAAACTCCACATCACCCATTAAAATTTTTGTTTCTTTTTGTAACACACTTCCAAATTGGCATGGAAACCACAGGAAAATATCCAAATGAGGTTATGTAGAAAATTATATACTTTAAGTGACGCATTTAATTTATCAAAAGAAATATATCATCGACAAATAGTAAATACAATGATTGAGTGAAATTAAATCACGCAATTTTTCATTGTATTGCGTAAAATAATTTTGTTGTGATTGATTTTAGGGGAGCAAAGAGACAATAGCCAGCAATTCATTTGCTATGTCAATTTTATGTAGTCGAGAAAGAAGAGAAAGTGGGCACCAAAGTAAGATATAACGAGAAAATTTGTTTGTTAGGGAGTAGTCAACATTATATGTGTAATAAAAGAAAGCGGTGCATACATTGTGATATGAAAATTCCTTGCAATCATTCAGTTGATTATTATGTGTATATGAATGAGAGCCAGCTGCTGTCATCTATATGTATATTCATTATTATTGGTTTCGTGTGTTGTCAAGGTCGTCTGAGTGATGTGTCTGAACGGCTTTTACCGGTATATGCTTCATATATACACATCATTTTGTGTAGCCCGGCAAAATTCGATTCTTTTTTTCGTATGCAAGTTCATTGCGTTCGGACATAATTATTATTGTTGTTTTTATTAATTGAAATAATCAAAAAAGCATACACTCATATTTCTTTGATGTTTTTATGTGTCTAAAAGTTTTCCACGATTATTCTGTGGATTTATTTTATGCTTAAAAAAAACTTTACAATGCGATTTTTCAAAATATAAAAATATTTCAATTTTTTTATTATGTTCAAACGAAAAGCAAATTCAGTGATCATTATGTTCTTTTCCTTGCAGGTCTTCTCACAATAAAGTTTTTTTAATCATGGAACATAGTTAAATCAACATTATTTACAATTAAAATAAAATTGAAAAGAAAATTGCAACAATCAAGCTTTACTCAGAAATTACATCGCTTCAATCTCTCTGGAATAACAAAAGAGCCAAATCACAACACAAACAATTCAAAAAATAATAATAAATGCTGACGAAATCAAATGTGTTGATCTGAGGAAAATGCCCAATTTTTATCGTCGGGCAATCGAATTTGCTGGCCGGTATACCCGGCATCAAAATTAGTTTTCCAGCACACTGGGGGGTCGGAAGGCATGGTGTGCCCGTCCCCCCAACCAGCGATTTGCTGGCCACGATCTCAATGTTTGAGGTAAGCAAACTTTTCATCACTCTTTATATTTTATAACTTCATTCGTGGAATATTTTAATAGTTCTCCGAGCGTTTTTTCTATATTATTTTATAAAATATAAGGAGAATAAATGTATTATTGGCGTAAGAAAATACGTATTAAATGTTTTGTATTTTTTAGCAACAAATCAAAGCTGAACCCATGTCATTCTATACGACAACAACATGTCCACAACAACCACCATCTCAGATGGTTCAGCCAATGGCTCCCCAGCAACAACAGCAACAGCAACAGCAACAACAGCAACAACAGCAACAACAACAACCTCAACAAGCTCAGCAGCAACAACAACAACCTCAATCACAGCAGCAGGAGGTGAGACAATTATGTATTGTTATTACAATTTTCTCAAAGACGGGTCCAATCGATTTTACAATCAATTATATTCTTTGTTAGAGTAGTTTTTATCATAGACTGCCTTAATAATTTGATTTAATAACATATTTTATTATTTATTAGTTAGTAACATTTTCAAGTTATTAAAAATCTAATAATTACTAACTAATAAAACGTTAATAAATAATAATTATTATTTAGTAACTAATAAATTATTGGAATCTTATTATTTAATAAAACCGAAATTTTATTAGATTTGTTACACTGTGCGTCACTCAAAATGTGATGGAGACGAGACCCACCGTTTTTACATAATTTGGGTATGCTGATTTCAATGGCATCACCCGTTTTTCTCTAACACGTCAGGATTTTCCACAATTTTCCTAGAGAGTTTTCCGGAAAACCAAAATTGGCTGTTTATACTCTAGTAAAATTTTGAATTCATGCAATATCCCAGAGAGGTGACCTATCAGGCGTTGTAGTACGGTTCAAGTATAGTTAAGCCACACAATTCGTTTTGAAAAAAATTGAGTCATTTAAAAAAAATTGATTTGGTTATTCCCCTCTGAAGTCCACATTTTGAAGTAAAATTGGTATCCATTCAAATTTTCTGAAAATGAGTATTTGGGGTTTTTTTGGCATGAAAAGACCGAATATGATGCTGTTTTTGCTATAAAATTTGGTTTGAATACACTTACCAAACGTTGAAATTTTTGGTCATTTTTGACCATTTTGGATACTTTTTGTGTTGAAATATGTATAAAATTACCCGGATAATATATAATATATGGAATTACATTTCGGAAGTTCTGGAAACCAGGCCAAATCCTGAAAGTCCACCAATCAACCAAAAACCACCGGATTTGGATTTCAGGCCAAAAAGTAGTTGGCTATATACAAATTTGCTTATTTTTGCCGATTTCCCATTGGAAAATCGAGAAAAATCGATTGGTAGTTTTTCCATTTCCATTTAAATTCCAGCAAAACTTTAAAACCTTATCATCTTAATCACGATCTGGATTTTTTTTTACTTTTTGAGTGCTCTATACCGAGTCTCCGAGAGTTTCATATAAACTTACCATGTAACACCTATTGAATAGAGACTGAATGCCAACTCCTTATATGACACTCCCATGTGATAGCAATAATCAGTTTTCTCTTTCAACGTAGAAGCAACAGTTAATAACAAAAATAATAACAAAGGAGCGAGTACGACGTTTCCCCCTTTGCTAAGCGAAATAAATCCGATATACGGCGCTGATTCAAATGTCACTCTATGTCATTCCACAATGATACATTTTTTGGCTTGACAATATATAAGCTCTTCATTCAACATGCATAATTTTTGAACGGTCGAGTAAAAAAAAAAAAAACATATCATAAAATATTCTTCTTACGTTTATCATAAAAATTCTCTATATTTTAAATTTATTTGTTTAAAAATAACAATAATTTCAATTTTTTTTTTCATAGATTGAACAAGAATCTAATGTAAAAAGTAATACCTATGCGACACCTACCGTTAAAATAGAAAAGGAAACTTATTTGGAATTGTAACATTTTGGTCCGCCATAACAGCATCTTCGTTTTGCTTCTCTGTGATTGGTCAAGTAAAACGAAGATGCTGTCATGGTGGACAAAAATGCTACAATGGATACCAACTAAGTTTCTTTTTGCATTTTTACGGTAGGTGTCGCATTGTCATTACTATTTACATTAGATTCTTATTTAATCGATGAAACATGTTTTGTTGAAATTATTGTAATTTATAAACAAATTAATTTTTTTATAAAAAAAAAAATTAATAAAGTTTTTAATGAAAAATGTTAGAAAAATATTTTATGACATGTTTTTTTTTCAACGATTCAATAATTATGAATGTGTATGCATTTTAAATGAAGAGCTTATATATTGTTAAGCCAAAAAAGTATTATTGTGAAATGACAGAGTGACATTTACATCAGCGCCGTATATCGAATTAATTTCGCTTGGCATAGGGGGAAATATTTTGACAGATAGTACTCGATCCTTTGATAATTTTCGATTTTATTAGTTAGTAACATTCTAATAACAAATCTAATAAAATTTCGGTTTTATTAAATAATAAGATTCTAATAATTTATTAGTTACTAAATAATAATTATTATTTACCCTCCTAGGTATAGAGGCGGTCCATTGAACCGAAATTTTTGAAAAAATTGAATAAAAATCGAAGTAAATTAAGAAAATTCAAAATTTCTAATTCATGTACATACTGTTTCTATCATAAAATAATTGTATATGTTGTGGGCATTTGATAAAACCAAATCTCACCTAGAACGTATAGTGGCGGTCCATTGGACCGCCCATACCAAATTCATGAAAACCTCATATAAACAGTAAAAAATAAAGCAATTTAAAACTGTCAACAGTACACATTCTGAATTTTGCGTTATAAAACGGTGCATATAGAGTAGATTC